CTTTTGATTTTATGACTGTTTTTCAGGTTCCTTTCTAAGCTCTCCTTGTGTTTCCGATTTTTATTAGGTTCAGTTAAGTTATTTGCACACGCACAAGGACTATCTGCCTAAGAGGATTTGATTGTAGTTTGTCATGTAACGCGATTGCAACCATTCTTCTTTTGTTGTAAAGTTACTTTGGATAAATATTTAAATTTTTATTTAAAATGGGAATATGAGAGGCTTGTCGTATAGAAATATCGACATACATTTCTTATAGAGAGCATATAAAGGTGTTGTAAAAGCTCAAGAAAAAACTGTAAACTACTTCGGAGAACGAAAACAAGAGTAATATAATCAAATCGGTGTAGCCAGTCTTACAGAAGTTGATAATATTTATTGCATGTTGAACTTATCAAAGGCGGAAATTTATAGACATAGTTAAGGGAATATCTAAATGTATATTCACTGAATACATCACTTGAAATCTTAACATCGATAAGGTTGTTTATTCTTTAAAATGCAGTTAAATGTTTGCATCAATGTCGCAAATGCATCTTATCGTCATACCAAACACTTTGTTTTCTAATTTCGTCTTACCTAAAGAATGTCTTATGATGTATAGACTCACCTTAAGAAACGATGGATGTAATGAGTTGTAAGGATTATGTTGATTTTATTAACAGTTAAATTTTAAGTTCCTTTCCTGTCAAATTCTTAACTTCAACTTACTACTTCCGGCCAGAACGTAGTTTGGAATCTTTCTGAATACTTAATGAGGCGGAGCGGCATTTAAACCGCGAAGTTACTTACAGAGTGAGAGGGAATCAAAGTTTCTGATTTACGCTCGTCTGCCTTTTGGCTACTCTCTCTCTCTCAAAGCTGTTATTACGCTCGGCCGTACTCAGGCCTTTGAAAAGCTTCGTAGTCAAATAGAGTTAAGGGGCCAACTCGAATATTGATAGCTTCGGCTATATTTCTTTAGTTAATATTAGTTTTAGTTTAATTTTGAGTCTCTTAAGTTCAAGCCCAAGTGTCGGCTTTGATTGTACACTCCAAGACGGAGTTTTGTTAAATCTTATTGGAATAATAAAGGGTTAGTTACCCTTCCATCTTGTTGTTTCTTGTCACACGAACTTAAGCGATTATTCGCTAACAAGTTCTTAAGATTCGTCACTTTCTACAGTAACTGAGAATTACACTAGTGAGAATCTTACAGAGTTAAAGAAAGTTGACAGGATAATTTGACACAAAATTGTAAACATTAAGCGAAGTAAGTAAAAAAATAATTAATAAATGTTATTTATATAGATAAATTGAGCATAATTTGATGGCAAAGAATTCGAGATTTTCCTGTTTTACTTGTTGCATAATATAGATGTTTGCATTTATTTGTGTCTGAGCACATAAAAGTGCTAAATACCATTTCATGATGAGTTCGGATACCTGAAGAGAGGGCTTTGCTTAATGAAGGTTTTCATTTTTTTTACCAATATAAACTATAAATACAATGCAGTGTCATTCGGAAGGATTTAACAGAAGCACTTTCAGTTCCATATATATTTATTTTATCTGCAATAATGCTATCTTATCGAATAAATTATTTATGAATTTAAAGGGACCAGAAAAGACAGATCAAAACTATTTAGTTATAGATTTATTTAGAACACTAGAAAAATTAATATTACCTATCTTGGTAAGCTACAAATGTAGTATGTACCAATTCTAAGGACTCTTGTTTTGGGTTTTATAAAATAGAGCATATTTTGGGCTAGCTAGGCTAGCTGCAAAGGGTTACAAATTAAAATTGCCATAGAAACATCGTTGAAAAAATGTCGCTGAGAAAATAACGCCAAAAGAAAATGGTGTTATACAAATCATCGCGACAGACAAGAAAACAAAGAGAAAACATCGTAGTTCTAAAACATCGTTTGTATAAAATAAAGTAGACCAACTTTAAAATATGGTCGGTGCAAAATGTGGTGAATAAAAAGGAACCTATAGCTAATCGCCTGATGATAACAGCTCAGGTACGTGTTTTCAGAACAAAAACATTTTAAGTGGATTTTCGCTTAATGATTTGTGATCACAAGAAGAAATAAGGAATATTCAACATTTCATACTTTGGTATTAGCTGATAAACTTTTACTAAAAGAACAAGAAGGGAATTTAATAGCATACAAAATCTGGAAGTTAGTAAAAATTACGTGTAACTCATTCATAGAATATTTAGCTTACGCATCTTCCTTTTTCTGATCTTTTTTATACTACGTTCATGAAACCTTTGTTCATGAAAATCTACTAATACGTAAAGAGGTTACTAAAAATAACTTTTAATACTTAACAAGTAGAATATTAGTTTTTATCAATTAATTCACTTTACACATTTATTCAGATATGTAATTGAGGTTCGAAATTGTTTGTAATTCAAATGAATAATCCTTTTATTAATATTTAAAGGTTTATTATCATTATTTACTGATTTAATTAAAATATATTCCTGTTTTGCTGTCCCGCCAGGGAAGGAGTGGCTAAGACGACAAAACAAACAGGTTTTGCGGGCTTTTGCTGTATGCTTTTTTTCCTGTTTGTATTCCCGTTTGCAACTTACATAAACAGTTTCCAATAGAAACAAATTCTTGATATTCTTTTCTTGTGCATTATTGTAAAAAAATATATTTTTAGATTGGCACTTCAAAGAAAAGTTAAAAGAAAATGTTATAACATTTTCACTCCCTTGTATGAAGTAAAGAAAGTATTGTAATCGCGAAAATTTCGGGTATCATATTTCAACGAAAGTATCCATTTTGACCGCTCGCGAATCCATTTGAACGATGTTTTTGCCTGATATTTATATGTACGAACAGAATAAATGTCTTTTTCCAAAAACGGATTAAAAATGAATTTAAAATGGATTCAGAAGAGATTTTATTGTGTCATCTGTACGTACGTATGTATATATGTACCTCGAGTAACTCAAAAACGAGTAGCATCAGAGCGATGAAATTTTGTTGCTATAACATGCAGATGTGCACTTCCTTCTCTGGGTGCAATCGGCTCCCACCAAAAGTAAAAATTCAAATCAAAATTTTACCTTTAAACAAAGAGAGCATTAACCAGAGTGATTCTCTTTATTTAAAGGTAAAATTTTGATTTGAATTTTTCACCAAAGTATCTTATTCTTTCACTTATGTTTTCAGTTCTTTGAATACAGTTCTTTTAATTTAAAGGTTAAAAGTCTGATTAGAATTTGCTTTGTTTTTCCTTGGGGAGGTGCTAGAAGTTTCGGGTGAACTATTATAATTAAAATTTTTACATTTATTTTCTTACACAAATTCTTCTTCTTTCTAAATTTCTTACTTTATGTATTTACTCGTAATTTTACAGCAGCTTAATGCGCAAAAATACTAAGCATGATTATAATAGGCTTCTTAATAAATTATTTTGTAATTATACATCTATGTATTTATGCCCACTCTGTTCCTCGACTTGGTGAGCTCAGTTTTTTTTTTATTCTTATATGTTGGTAAATTGTGCATTTTTTGCTTTCAAAAGTAAACTTTCAGTTTTGTGCACCGAGAAATTTGTCTTCTTGCACGCTGGTTGAATTGCTTGTTTTTACATAGAAACTCTAATCTTAATGGTAAAAACTGCTTTTAAAGTTATTTTAACTTTATTTGGTGTTTTATGTTTTTCTGTATTTTTCAAGTTTTAATAAAGATGTTCTCTAAGTTTTTATGTATTTTTGCCTTGCCTCGAAGTGAAGATTGAATTAACTGAATGAAAAATACATTTCTAATGAAATTCGAGGAAATAAGTTTAAAAGAAATGCAGTAAAAATGTGTGTGCTTTAACAAGCCGTACACAGAAATCATGCGGTGTCCACATCAGATTTTTTCAAAAACCCATGTTTTCATTCTTTCGATAATATGGAGATGCTCTGAAAGTCTACTAAAGTTTATTGACCCATTTAGTGCGAAATCTTATCTGCATATTAAATGCTTCATCATATTTCTCTTTCGTTCTTTTAATTTCATCTTGTCTTTCTTCCTTTTACTTTTCTATAAGTTTCTCTTGAGTAATTACATTCTGATGATAAAATTTTTTGTACGAATAAAATGTCAAACGGTTTATCTTTCTTGTTTTTTTAAGATATTTTCATGCTTTCTTCACTTATATTTTGACAGAAATAGCCTAACCAAAACTAGATACTACTTCATTTTCCTAACGATCAGTAGAACCTTCTTGTATTACGATGTCAGAGATCAGTTTTCTTTTGACATGAACTAATTAGTGTAACACAAGTGCAGTTTTAATGCTGTGATAAATTTTAACTTCATTCGAAACATTTTGGAATTTACTATGTCGAAAGAATTTTAGATACTTATTTATTTTCGTATTTATCTACTTCTCAAACAGATGATCAGGATTAAGCATATCTTAGTTCTAATTGTGCTTGCATACATTTTAATCGTACTTTCATACATGATTATTTAAGGTAATGTACTACAGAGATACGGTTTTAAAAGTTTTAAATCATTATTTGAAAAACCTTGTGTATTGCTATTAAAAGGTGATATATGCTTTTTAGAGCAAAAATATTTCAAAAATTAAAATTTGGAAATGCAGACCGTTTTCTGATTAAATTATCATTTTTTGCATACCACATGATCAGATTTTTTGCTATGTTGTCATTTAACTCATTTAAAGTTACGGCCACGTTGAGATCGGATTTCTATTCAGAGCACTTAAGCAATGCTAAAATTGCAAGACAGGAATTAAAACTGAAAAAAAATAAAAATTGGCAGAAAATTTTCCCGCTTCGCAATGCTCAACCAATGAAAAATAAGGAAATAAATAAATAAGATGATGGGAGGGAAGTAATTTTACGACTGACTTTTTTGAAAGTTTGCCAGCTCTTCCTTTCTTTTTCTTTCTGCACAGATTGAATCCACACAAAATTTACCGCCTAAGCAACGCATGCGCATTTTTCTCAGCCACAAAATCCAAGCACGTGGTTTGGTTTGTTGCCATCATAACGTTTCCGGCCACGAAGGGGTTACGTTTGTTTGGACGATCAAGGCGGATATTTTAATTCGTATCTTTTTGGGTATACAAATCTATCGCCTTTTTTGTAAACAAATTCCAGGTCACAAATCATTCAGTGCATTGAAATTTTTGCTTCTGTATGTGCCACTAATGCTGGATGAGCATTTAATTTAAAAACAATTACGAAGGGGTAAGTTTAAATATAACAAAAAGTGGAACTTAATATGCATTATACTAGTATATTTATTCATTTGCATCAAATATACTTCAAGTCTTATATAAGTATAATTTATATAAGACTAATAGCAATACAAATATTGTATTCCATATATAAAACTGCATATTTATTTTTTAATGAAACCTGGTTATTTTCATTACCTATGGAAATAATTTTACATTTTACAGTAAATAACCACATGATTTTCTTACTTAGAAATGACAAAAAATGTGCACTTTAAGATCATTTCCTTAAGCACAATTGTGTTTATTATTAACATATACGATATTAACATAAAAAGTATTCTATAAAGTAACGGATATTATGTATTTATGGTCATTCATGTAACGGAAAAACACCTAAAGGCTATTTATTACTTTATGATCTTTCTTTCTACCTTTCTTTCTTTACTTTATGATCTTTTGAAGTTACCTTGAGTGGGTTATTTTTTGTTTACCTATCTTGCTTTCTATCAATGGCGTATCCATGAATGCTTGCAGTTGAAAACATTAGTCAAAATTATTTAAATAAATTACTTTTCTGAATTTTAAGTAATAACATGCTTGTTTCCATTAGTACTTGGATGGAACTGACTTCTAAAATATATATTGTTTCAGCAAAACAGAATATACTTATTAATCATTTCTTAAATGTAAAGAGATACTTTGGGTACTTCTATGATTTTCTGAAAAGATAAACATATGAACTTTTAAAAAATAATTAAATTTAAAATAGTGTTTATTTGAAAGTAATTATTTAAATACTGTATAAATTAGAGTTATAATGTTAACATCGAATAAATCAATTTGTGAAAGGCAATGCATGAACTAAATGTTAATTTTCCCATATATGCTTGAAATACTTCGTATTTTCTTCATATTCGTAACACTTTTTCTCTAATTGAGTAATGACAAAAATAAAAAGGTGGAAAGGCAATTCTAATTTAAATTGATTTCGGTGGAGCAAGAATACAACACTAATAGCGATCTATTAAGGATTCATTAGAACAATATGCATTTATTCTTCTGTGTTTTTAATAGGCTGTTTAGAATGTTTCATTGATTCCTGGAAGAAATATAACTTTAACATATCTTTTCCTTATTTCTGTTAGTTGAAAAAGTTGTTTATGTTTTTCTAATTTCTATTTGTTGTCTACACTAAAATTCTAATATATCCTGTAAGTTTTTCCAAGGGTGTGTTTTCAATATAGGGGTAAGTATCAACAAAGAGTATAGTTATCCATCTGGAAAGACTAAGCAATGAGTTATGAACACTTGCTTGTTATATTTAATATGAGTCTAACTCAGAAATTTTTAAAACAATAAAATTTAACTAGCAGTTCATGAGAGTGTATGTCTAATTGAATTAATTTATTAGACTGCCTTAGATTAAAATTTAACGTTAAAATTATTCCTACGGAATTATTTTTGTCTTAAAATTCTAATTTACTTATTCTGAAATTATGTTTTCTGTTATTCTGCCCGAGACAGTTCAGTTTTGCATCACAGGTAAACTGACGGCCCACTAGCGTCGGAGCAGTAAAATCGCTGAACACTGGTAATTCCAACCTTTGTTCGAATCTAGGCGAACGGACTGGCTGTATGGGGTTTTTCGTGGTTTTGCCCATGTGCAACATGTATACGAACTAGTTACCCTTAAAAAGTGTTCCACGAAGGCATGCCTCCTCTTAGGCAGAAAGTCCTAATGTGCTTTGCCATAAGAACACTAAACTAGGTAAACTGACTTTACGGGAAACAGATTTTTCTTATAGACAGTTTGATTAGAAATTAGGAAACAGAAAATCAGATTAAGAAATTTTGCGCAAGATTCATGAAAATGTTTTTAAATTAACAAAGCTTTGAAATTGATTTCCGTTTTAAATGACAGCAAATCTTAGCGCTTTCTGAATTTTTAAAGCTTGTAAAAAGTTTTACATCCTCAAAACACAAACGTATTTCTCTGGGATCATTTTTACTGTTCAGCTATACACAAGCAAAATTTTACTCTTCTTTTCTCAGCATTCATTCAGTGAATATTTGTGCTTACTTCTCAGTTTAATGAAGTCTAGTGTGACTGATACAGATAAGAGGAAAAAAGAAGGAAGGAAACGAAAATTAATGATCTGCGTCCATAAACTAATGACCCATGATGAGGTTGTCACATAATTTTCTGAAGTGTCCCAGAGATGTATTATTGTCACAGTTAATAAAAATTTATGGCAAAAATTACTATTATTTTAAACCATATTACATGCTGGCTATCTGAACTGAACTGGGGAATTGATGTTTTAACTGCTAATAATCTATGCCTCAAGAAGTAGAAAAGTGGTCTCACGGGTATACTGTAACATGTTCGGGATAGCACAGACTTGTTTTATGAAGTTTATACGATCCAAGGATAAACGGAACGTGATCCGAATCAAATCAGGGATGATGTGTGAGACGCGCTGTGACTGAAATAAGTGGTAGATAATTTGCAAGGAACTCAAGAAAGGAAATTATTAGAGGTGCAGAAACTTTGTTATTCGTGTCTTCCATAACAATAGCTTTATTTTACAGAAAAGAAATGGAGGTGGAATAAAATTGTTTTTCCTCATTTTGCAATTATTTTAAACTTGTCATCGATGCGACCCGGAAAGTTTACATTGGGACAATACAGGAAAATCGCAAATATTGCGAATCAAAGTTTGGGAGCTAAAATTTGTAGTTTTTCATATTACTTTATTATATTGTTAATAATATTTTTTTAATTTTTATCAACTACAGTGACAAGTAATTTCATCAAAAACACATTTTTAAATGCAATAATGTATTTTGGAACAACCGCGTCGTAGAAATAATATCTTTTATTTGAATAAACCCAAAACTTTTCTAAAATCTTGTTCGCGCAGTAATTGAAAGCAGCGTGATTCAACAGTCAAAACTACAATCCAGCGCAGATGTCTCAAAATATTTCTTCAGAAGGTTAATATATTGTTCATATTATATTCTGAAATATATTGTTCATAACACTTCTGACCAAATGATCCTTTCGTGGAAACCTCGGTAATTAATTTTGTTCCAGTTTTTTGATTTTAAAGTAAATGATTTCTGGCATTTCTTCATAATCAAAATATCTACGATCTGGGAAGGGAACCGAGAACATAAAACATTTACCACCAGAGCAGTCTCTAGATAAAATAACTTGATAATTGGAGAAAAACAACTTCCAGAGCATCATTAGTAGGTAAACAATTAAAGAAATGTATTGAAAAAGGGTATATGTCCAGGCTTTCAAAGGAGGTTAGGAAATATCCAAAGAAGCATACAGAATTAAGTAGTGATTTGGGCATAACTATGCTCATCACATATATACACCGGTTTCTAATCACATTTCATCAATTTACGTAGAATCTAATTACATTTCATTTCTAAGCATATTTCATGAATTTTCGCTTGATATTCTTACGAATAATCCAATACATAGTTCTAATTTATCTGCTCTTAATTTAATGTTATAAATTTTAACATGACAGTTTAAATTACAGAAATTGTAATTTAAATTACAGAAATTTCTTTTTTTTATTGTAAAGCAATATTTTAATACAAAGTAAAATGCTGAAGAAATGATTCAAGATTCTGTATAAGTTATCATATTCAGTTTTCACAAAATTCTGAAATAATATTCAAGTGTATTAAAATAAACAGCGTTGCAAATCCTTTTTGTAATTCTGTTGTTAATTCATTAGCTGCTAAAGGATATTCGTTAAAGACTCCTTACCCATTTGATGGCCTTTCTTTTTATTATTTTTATTATATGAAATTAATTAACTTAAATTTTATTACATAGAAGGCATGAAAGTGGTGTGTTCAGGCAATGAGAATGTTTTGAAACGTTGATGCTAACAAGCAAATACGCAGATATGAATTCACGGATTTTAATATGGAACATGGGAAAAATTACAATGTGTTTTTGAGGAAACTGGTGTAAAATGTATGTATTTTAATTAGAATACTAAGTTTTTCAATCTCTAATTAAAATTAACTGATATGCATTTCCAAGAATTAAGTACACACGAGTCTATATTTATCAATGTTTTTAAATACCAGATCGGAATTACCCTTCACACTTCTGGAAAATACGTGTTATTTTTCCAAAAGGTAATAATTTTTCTGTTTAATATATGGACGTTAAAGAGGTTTCTATCTTTAAATGTTCGATTATAATAATTCTTCAGCCAACCAGCGGCCGAGCGTTAGAGTCGCTGAACACTGGTAGTTCGGTCCATGATTCGAAACCCGCGAACGGACTAGCCGCATGAGGGTTTTCGTACTTTTCTTCATGTGTCACGTGTATACAAACTAGCTTCTCTGAGAAAGTCCTCCACGAAGGTATCCATTAGCCAGTTAGCCCTCGAGGCTTTGACGTAATAACTTAAAACGAATCTAGAATAATTCTCATTTCTGAAAATGCTAATAATAGCTTTGGTAATTCTCATGACCTATAAAGTTTTGTTACTTTCTTACCATGAAGAAATAGATTTATTTATTAAGTCATCAATATCAAGTCAATTTTATAAGTTTTTCATAAAAATATTTTCAAAAGAATAAAATGTTTAAGTAATTTTTTAAAAAAGTATGCCATTTTGTATGCCATATAAAATTAAAATAGCTTAATTCTGAAGAAGTTTGCTTTGCATGAAATTGATTGTTTACAAAAAAGTGTGCTGGAAAGAAAGTGAAGTGTTCATTTTCGTTTCGTCTCATAAATGAAGAAAGTTATGCATTGTTTCTTACTAAATAATAAACATAATAATGAAAAATATAACATCAATGAATATATCGCCCTTAGAAAAGAAAACATAACTACTAATTGTGAGAAATATAGTATACAGAAATTTCCGTGTCAGACATGTTCGTAAGATAGCTATTAATCCAGTCTGAAAACACGTATTGCAAAAGCAGTAAAAAATATTAGTTTAGAAATATTAAAAC